GGATGGCTGGCTGGTGGCAGAATAGATGGACCAAAAGGGGACCGCAGAAGAGGGTTCCAGCGAGTCCTGGGGTGGCTCCCTCTGGCTCAGGTCTTGTGGTCTTAATTTTATACAGAAGGATTGTGGATGGTTTATTAATTGTGACAGGATATCCTGGGGGACTGGTGACAAGATCGCATCTGAAACTTTTTCAAAGTAGTCTCGTCTTAGTTCCCAAGGGCACAGGAGTCATGTACTCATAGACTGTTCTATGTCCCCTTTCCCTCCCTGTGTAGCCACCCTGTGCTGGTGTCGCAAACGAGACAAAGGATTTTCGCAGCGTTCGCCTGGCCGCTCCCCTGGCGCGGGGACAAAGGTGACTCTTGGCTTTGGCGGGTCAGTATAAACCGCTGACTCCAATCAATACCCCAAGGGGCGGATACCGCTGTGAGCTGTATGAGGTCACCATGGAACCACAGGTTGGGACTCACTCGAACTCCATACCAGAATGCCATGGAGCTACAGACTTGAACCTGATCGTTTGGTTTTCAGGCCGCACACACACTCACACAAACACACAGAGATTACTTGTTCATTTCCCTATCACCGGGGCATCCCTGACCTAATCTAACCTGATCTCCCCGTCCGGAATACCGTCGGATGGGAAGCCTAACCTGATCTCATCATCTGAAATACTGTCAGACAGGGAGCCTGCAGGAGGCAATCAGTCTCCTCTTCTGTCCAAGTGGACAGAACCTGAATACCCTAACCTAAATATGGACACTTCCCAGGGCTCTTAACCTTGTTTGGTCATGTTGCTTGGTGAGTTGACTCCGTCCCTCCATTTAGTCCAGTTGGGGCACAGCTGCCCAGACGACTGAATCACTTCCACGAAGGAGGACCCAGAATACCATCGGGTGGTGCACCTCATTCACTTCCAGAATTCCTTATCTCCAGGTGGTTGCTCCGCCGCCCCGGCAGCTCAAGGGGCTGGCATGGTTGGAATCTCGCTGGGGCCTCCAGAAATGTTGCAGCAAAGTGTGTTACAGCTTGGTTGTGACAGCAACCTGGATCCAGGTGAGAGACCAAGCAGCACTTGGAGAGTTGGAGAACTCAGATTTATTATGCTGGCTGGCCCAGAGGAGTTAACACTCCAAGCTCTGGACCCTGTCTGTAGGTTTACACAGCCTTTTGTAGGCTGCCAGTCTAGACGTTGCAACATTTTGCAACATCATATGGAAATAAGGTATAACACAGGTGACTAAATAGGAATAAGCTTTGTAGAAATGGGCCAATCAGGAGTGAGAGAAATGCACCAATCAAGAGTGGTAGAAATGGACCAATCAGGGGCAAGTTCCGTGCAAATGAAGTGCTACAAATGGACCAATCAGAAGTTACCTCAGGGAACCAATAGAATTTTAGGGGTAAGTTCCACTTTCTTAGAAGTAATCCGTTTCAGAGGCAAAAAGCGAGATAATGCTGCTAGGCTAGGGAACTGGATGGTGCTGGCAGGAGAGTAATGGCCCTGCCTGGGTGTCCTGCTGGTCTTTTTCATGGGGCTTCCCACCTCACCACTATTTTCTCCTATTCAGAAGGTTCCCTTATTTTTTTTTTTACTTTAACCATTTAAAAAAATTATGTATTTATTTTGCAATATCATGTTTTTTGAATTGCAGTATAGTTGTACAATATTATATATTACAGGCATACAATATAGTGATTCACAAATTTTTAAGGTCATAATTCATATATAGTTATTATAAAATATTGGCTATATTCCCCATGTAGCTTGTTTTATACCTGATAGTTTGTACCTCTTAATCCTCCACCTCTATCTTGCCCCTCCCCCTTCCTTCTCCCCACTGGTAACCAGTGTTTCTTTGCTACATCTGTGAGTCTGATCTTTTCTATTATATTCACTAGTTTAGTTGTATTTTTTTAGATTTCCATTATGTAAGTAATATCTTACTAATATCGTCTTTCCCTGTCTGACTTATTTCA